CGGGCCCCGCCGCAGCCCAGGCAGGGCCCTGCCCGGCCGCCGCCGCCGCCTCCGCCACCACCCAGCCCGGGTCCTCATGGCCCGGGCGCCGCCGCCCCCGCCCGAGCCCGCCCGGGAGGGGCGGAGGGGGGGGAAACGGGGGGGCTGACCCGGAAGCAGAACCACAGGGCCTCCACCGGAAAAGGGAAGTGACGTCACCGCCCGGTAACGGGAAGCGGCCTCCTCCGCGCTGAGGGCGGCCTGGGCCCCGCCGCCGCCGCTCCCCGCGGAGACGGGTGTCGCTGTCACCCACCCGGCGGGCAGCTGGTGTTGGTCGCCCCGCAGGGAGGGAGGGACGGACAGACAGACAGACACCGGCCTCCATGTCGCCGCCCGAGACGCAGGCCTTGGTCTGGCCGGGCCCTGGCGAGGGGCCCGTCGCCACGGGAGGGTTCGGGGGGAGAGAGAGAGTGTGCGATGGCGGAGGGTGGAGGTGGAAGGAGCCTGGGGGCCTGGCGGGCAGAGCCCTGAGCCCTCACGGCAGCCACGGCCCTACCGACAGGGGCACGGCCCGAAGGGAGGGGAGGGAAGGGGAAGGAAAAGGGAAAGAGAAAGGAAGGGAAAAGTAAGGGGAAGAGAAGGGAAGGGAAAGAGAAGGTAAAAGGAAGGGGAAGGGAAAAGGTAAGGGGAAGGGAAAGGGAAAGGAAGGGAAAAGTAAGGGAAGGGGAAGGGAAAGAGAAGCGAAAGGGAAGGGGAAGGAAAAGGTAAGGGGAAGGGAAGGAAAAGGTAAGGGGAAGGGAAGGAGAAGCGAAAGGAAGGGGAAGGGAAGGAGAAGCGAAAGGTAAGGGAAGGGAAAAGTAAGGGAAAGAGAAGCAAAAGGGAAGGGAAAAGGAAAGGAAGGGGAAGGGAAAGCGAAGGTGAAGGGAAGGAGAAGGGAAACGTAAGGGAAAGAGAAGCAAAAGGGAAGGGGAGGAAGGGAGGAGAGGGAAGGGGATTTGAATCAGAAATCACACCTTGAGAAAGCAGAGAAGAATAAAGACAGTAAACTGCAAAAATGTTAACGGGATATAAATCCTGCATTGAAGTGAGAAGAGGATATACGGAAAACACTCTCCTGACAAATAATTTCGAAGGTTTAGACATAGTAAATCAGGCAATGACTACCAGAAATGTAACAAGCTTTTTTTTTTTTAAATTAGAGATAACAAGGGAGGAAAAGAGTCTAACGGGAGGAAACAGAAATGAGATACAATTAGGCTGATAACAGGAAATGTAATTATTCTGAAAAGGGAAGCTCTATAAGCTGGGAAGACTTGTAACTCTTCATGACTGTTCTAGAAGCTAATTTTTGGTTGAAAAGTGGGCAGGATAAACTATAGAATACCTTAATAAAAACAAAAAGCTGTCAAAAAGATCCATCAAAAAATAATAATAATAAAAAAAAGACAAAATAATGTTGTAGTTAATTCTGGCAGTTTGTTGGATTTGATAGGTGTTATTCCCAGGGCTTTATGGGGAAAAGGGAAGGGAAGGGGAAAAGGGAAGGGAAGGGAAGGGAAGGGAAGGGAAGGGAAGGGAAGGGAAGGGAAGGGAAGGGAAGGGAAGGGAAGGGAAGGGAAGGGAAGGGAAGGGAAGGGAAGGGAAGGGAAGGGAAGGGAAGGGAAGGGAAGGGAAGGGAAGGGAAGGGAAGGGAAGGGAAGGGAAGGGAAGGGAAGGGAAGGGAAGGGAAGGGAAGGGAAGGGAAGGGAAGGGAAGGGAAGGGAAGGGAAGGGAAGGGAAGGGAAGGGAAGGGAAGGGAAGGGAAGGGAAGGGAAGGGAAGGGAAGGGAAGGGAAGGGAAGGGAAGGGAAGGGAAGGGAAGGGAAGGGAAGGGAAGGGAAGGGAAGGGAAGGGAAGGGAAGGGAAGGGAAGGGAAGGGAAGGGAAGGGAAGGGAAGGGAAGGGAAGGGAAGGGAAGGGAAGGGAAGGGAAGGGAAGGGAAGGGAAGGGGCTGTTACCCCCCGGCTCAGACTGCATGCGGGTCTGGTGTCCAGTTGAAGAAGGATGCTGAGAAAGCGGAGTGATAAACTGGTGCCGAAGGAGAGCTCCTCCTCCTCCTCCCCTCAGACCTCAGTTGGGGTGTCCGTGTCCGGGGGTGACACCGCGCTTTGAGCCACAGGACAGTAGGGCTGGGGAGCCAACAGGTCTACTCCTCTTCTTAACCTGTTCAACTCTTAGAATCGCAGAATGGTCAGAGTTGGAAGGGACCTCAAAAGTCATGGAGTTCCAACCCCCCTGCCCTGGGCAGGGACACCTCCCACCAGACCAGGTTGCTCCAAGCCCCATCCAGCCTGGCCTTGAACCCCTCCAGGGATGGGGCAGCCACAGCTTCTCTGGGCAACCTCTTCCAGTGCCTCACCACCCTCACAGCAAAGAATTTCTTCCTAAGATCTAATGACATCAGTCTCATGTTGGTTGCTATAAATCATGATGTCTCACCAACAAGTCAAGAACGTTTTTGCTGAAGGACCCCCAGATGTGTGGTAGGTTGGTCGTGACCCGCACGCTGATGTTACTGCCTTTTCTTCTTTGACGGCACGAGGTGGTCCTTGGACAGAAAAGTTTAATTTTCAAACTGGTTGCTTTCCCATTTTTCTCCTGCTAAATTGTTCAAAATGTTTTTAATGAAATGCTTTTCCAAAACATTTTTTAATTAAATGCTTTTCACCTTGAAAGAACTGGGGACGGGGAACAATAATTAGTGTTTCTAGGCTGGTATAATAAACCACCAATTTTTGGTGGATTACTTGGCCCAACCTTTAGATAGAAGTAATACAGGAAATTGTCTCGGCCTTAGGGTGGTTCTGAGGAAGCTGCTTCCCTTTTGTTGCCTTAAAGCAAAAAGGGGATGTCTAAAATTTTGCATAATTTCTACTAGGAGGCGCTCGTGGACCTGGGATGGGATGGGATGGTGTCTCTCCACCCTTTCAGATGCATCCTCAGTTGGTGTTATCCTCGCAGGGCTGTGCATGGCTGAGTTTAAGGGACCCCACAGCCCAGGGGATCACGGTCCACCTGGGACGTGGAGGCCATTCCCTCTTCCCAGTTTAGGAAAGGGCGATTTGTCAGGGTTCCAAATTTATGGCTTGTCTCTGTGGTTTTCACGAGTGTGTGCAAGGTGCTCCCTGAATTTCAGATCAAGCGGTAAGCAGAACGAAATCAAATAATGAATTGCTCGATGTTCCACGGAAGAGTTCCCGTTGCAAAGGTGGTGCTTTTTTGTTAAAAGATAATCTGCAAAGATAAATAAATTTAAAAAAAAAAGTTGCAATAATCTGCAAAAGCTTGGTTTCTTCTTTGGGTCTGTGGGACAAATGCTTTTGGTTGCCCTGCTCTCAGTGAGGTTCCTACATGTGCTTTTTACTGGCTTTGAGTCCTTGGCGTGAAAAATGCCTGGACCGTTTCCAAATCCCAAGAAACACTTGTAGCTACAGTTTATCATTTGTCCACCGTCCGGTTAGATTTATTTGAGATTATTTGGGTTTCTGTACAATTCATGCTCAGTACTTTTTATTGCCGCGTTGCATTTCTTACGGATTTCGGTTTCAAGGCTGTGCTGTGATCTGGAAGGCGCCGTGTGTCCCATGAGAGCGCAGGGCATCTTTATTTCCAGACCCTGCTAGGATCTCTGCATTCTTCCTCCTGGCCACCCGGGTTAGGTGGGTGGACCGGGTTAGGTCCCACCAGCTGGTTTCATCATCTGCCTCCTTCCTCCAGTGTCCTCAGCCCCGCTTCCCTGCGGAGAGAGACTCAGGGGACGGTAAAAGGCTCTTTTTAGTGACAGGTCAGAGTGCAGCTCAGTTTTGCAGTCCTACATAGTTGGCCGTCCCACGGTGTCCCTCACTTGGGCAGAGATTGTAGCGGCGTGCCCTCGGGACCACTGATTTGTGGTGGCCCTTTTGCTCTGGAACAAAAAAAAGGCACGTTTGAGCTGAAGGACAGAAGAGCAAGAAGCCTGGCAGCCCCCATCCCCAGCGGGATGTCCCCCTGCCTCTCTCAGCAGGCTCCATGAGCATGGTGGGACAGAGGTGACTCACTGTGCCTTCTCGATGTCCTCAATGCCCTCGGGCAGGCGCACGTTGAGTGTCTCCGGGAGCAGGAAGGCCACCGAGCCACAGCACACTGCTACCCCGCAGTAGGTCACCTCGGGCAGAGACTTCCACACCTCATCCAGCAGAAACACAAGGGGGGCCAAAGCCCCGCCAAGACGTGCCACGAAGGAGGTGTACCCCATCCCATTCTGCCTGGAAAGGTAGGGCGCCGTGGTGGTGCAGACCACCACGAGAAAGAGATGGGTACTTCTTTCATATCAGACCTTGGGAACAAGTGCAGACCCTCTGTTCCTTCCCCCTATTTTTCTGTAAGTGCTGAGGCTTTCCCCCCCTCACACCTCCAGGTTTTTCCTCTGCCACGCTTTTTCTAGATTGGTTTTTTTTTTATTATTTCTTCACATCTTCCTACAGTGATGATATTTCCCAGAGAGCAACCGTAGCTGCTGCGATAAATAGATTTATGTCTGAGAAAGAAGTTCCCCACTAAAAATACCTGCTCTAAAGTTGCTTCTGCTTTAAATGTCTAAAAGCCTGAGTGCATTTTCTACCCATCCCCCTAGTGAGTCCTCCCATCTGCTGAGAGCAAACCTAAGTCCCTCCTTCTCCCGGGTACTTCTAGGCAGGTGGCACGATAGAGATATCTGTGAGCACCTTTGGTCCTGCCCCCTTACTAATTTTCGGGGGTAGGTAGCATTTCATGATGCCAGCTCTGGAGCCCTCAGCACAGGAAGGACATGGACCTGTTGGAACGGGTCCAGTGGAAGGCCATGAAGATGATCAGAGGGATGGAGCACCTCTGCTATGAGGGTGGTGAGGCACTGGAACAGGTTGCCCAGGGAAGTTGTGGCTGCCCCATCCCTGGAGGTGCTCAAGGTCAGGTTGGATGGGGCTTTGAGCAACCTGGTCTGGTGGGAGGTGTCCCTCCCAGGGCAAGGGGGTTGGAACTCGATGATCTTCAAGGTCCCTTCCAACTCTAACCATTCTATGATATCACACTGACAACAGGAAGGCCAGGCCCTCCTCGTGCATCTGCAGAGCAAGCATTGCAGAAGGAACCAACATCTTTGTCTTTACCTGTCAATGTCTTCGAGCACGTAAAAATACAAAGCAATCTGAGAAGAAAAGTAGCAGATGAGTGTGCTCACTCCGGTCTAAATACTCATCATTCTCCACATACAACGGAGCGGTGGAAGTTAAAGGACTCTATGGCAGAGAAGGCTACTCTGGGCAGGGAGGGAGAGGGGTGATGCCACCAGCCCTGCTGTACCCGTGAGGGTTTTTCAGGCTCTCACAAAGCAACCAGCGAGGCCAGCCCCTCCACCCATCTCAGGTATATCCCAAACTATGCTGATGCTAAATCTGGTTTTATGTCACCATTACCTGGATATTTCAAATGAGCTCTCTTTTACCCCCTGAAAGGCTAATTGATCCCTGCTTTAATAGCACCTGATGTCCAGAAGGCTGTCAAATACATGATAGTATGTTGCCATTATGAAAATGTATAGTTCAAGTTATTATTTTGGGGTTTTTTTTAACCATTATTGGCAGATTATCAGAGGGAACTAAGACTTTACTGAGCACAGATGCCTTATGGAGTTCAAAAATCGTCCCACACAGGCTACTCTTCACCTTTCGATGCATCTTCTTGTCCACGTCACCTATCCAAATATAACCCAGGTGGAAAAAGGGCGTAGCTTTCTGCCCCTTTCTCCTGAATCTGCATAATCCCTAGAACCTGCTACTCCTAGAGGCAAGACATCAGGCCTGCAGTCCAGCCAACAGCATGTCCTGCTGGGCTGGTGTGGAAGACCTGAGGGTGACATCCCACCGAGGCTCTGGTGATGCACTCAGGCAAGCGGCGTCTCTTACCTCAGTACGGTGGGGTAGAGCTCAGAGGTGTACAAGAAGACGGTGGTGAAGGCAGCTTCTGAGAAACCTTTGCCCATAATGGCTACGACAGAGCGCAAGGAGGTGAAGGCTAGGAGGCAAGAAGAGACATTTGTGACAATGGTCGAAGAGCAGCCTCTAGGAAGAAGCTTCGTGTGGCCTCGGGTACAAGAAAGAAGGTGGTTCAATGCTCCTACAGACAAAACACAGAGCTTCATAGCTCTGGAGCTGCTGCATCCAAAGTCTGGTTCAGTTAGTTTGGTAACTATTAGCCCAAGTGGGAGCTGAACTGATGAAAGGATGGGTCCTAGCGTTTCCCGTTGGACAATGTTTATAGAAAGGACAGGCACTTCACTTTGCCATCACTGAGCTATTACTAGCCACTGTGCAGTGACCGGAGAACATCTGTTGCTCCCAGATATTAGGGCTAGCCCACATTAGCAACCTTTTCCTGCAGTTGCTCTTCTAGGAGGAGGACACCTCCATTCAGAGTTGCCTGTGGGCAAGATCTGCCCTTCTCCTTCTCTAGCACGGCCCAGAACGGGGACCTCCACTTTAGCAAGTACTGCATATAGCAGAAGAGTGGCTCACGCTTGGGAATGATGACGTTGGCTCCTATGCATAGTCCCGTCAGGATGAGTGCCCACGCCTGACTCTGCCGTCGTCCGACTCGATTCACCAGGAAGTACATGATCACCTTGGCTGGTATCTCAATGATGCCAAAGACAAACTGGGAGAGGTACATGTTGAGCCCAAAGCCCGTTAGGTTCATGCTCATGCCGTAGTAGGAGAAGGCAACACCAAACCTGCAAGGAGTGTGTGGAGATGGGGATTAGGGAAATCCATCTGGAGAACTGCAGGACAAGTCGCCCATGACACTGCTTACCACACAGCCCCGGAACACAGGGAGATCTTCCGCAAGACTGGTGTCCTGAATAAGCTGATGTAGGAGTAACTCTCTCCCGGCTTTTTGTCTGTTGCCATCCTTCTGAGGGCCTGGGAGAGGTGGAAAGAAGGAAGTAGCTCAGCTGCTGTACATGTCAGATCCAGCCATAAAACCCTAGACAGGCTGGGGCCTGTGCCTTTCCCAGCTCCATCTCCACCTTGCATTTTCCATACGTTCCCACTGCAGAACAACTCTCTGGGTATACGTTACCAGAAGCATGCCTTCCTGCAGCTTTATAGATTGCCTACCATTTTAGACCTCTTTTTCTTCCCATGGCCCCTTCTCCCCTCTTACCCATGTACCCCATGTGGCAGAAACATATGGCAAATCATGGTGTTGGCAAAGTCAGCTTTGGCCAGTTCCACCTTCTTCCCCGTGTGGTTGCCTGCTGTTGTGTCAGGCCTCAGGCAGGAGCTAACAGTGAGCTGCATGCTTTATTCTCATGAGTTTATTCCTATAAAGTGTGGTTATTTATACATCTGTTTATATAAATACAGAGTACATAGAAAAAGTCAGGCACTGAGAAGTGAGCCCTGCCTGTTGAATTTGAGCAATTGAGCCAGGGGTAAGTACCAGGAGAGCTGGTAAGTTCTACTTACTGGCTGAGATGCAAGAGGTTCTTCTATAGAACCATACATTTCTTATATAGAATCATAAAATGGTTAGAGTTGGAAGGGACCTTGAAGATCATCAGATCCCACAAAACAAGTATACCCCCCTATAAGCTTCATGAATCCACCAAGGTGTCACAACTTCAGGCCTTTCTTGATGGTGGTGGTCACAGCATGGTGTGACTTGGCACAAGGCTGTGATGGTGGGGAAGCCCCAGGTATGTTTCCTAATCCAAAGAATGGTATGAGGGTGCAAGCCCATGCCCTTCGTGGGGAGATGCTGCACTCTGAAATACAGAGTCATCAGCCAAGACTCAACGGAAGTGGTTATAACTTGCTATTTTTTAAAATATTTAGTCAGAGATCCTGGCTTGATTAAAGGCAAAGAAAAGTCACGCTCAACTCCTGTCTGCCACAACCAGTAAATTCATAATTTCTCACATGATTAAACAACATGTTTCTGTTGTAAATCAAAAAGGCTAATCACCTCTCCAAGAGTTATTAAGGAACTGCTCTTAAAAAATGGCATGCTGGCCAGGATGAGACAGGGGTGTGGATGCAGGAGCACTGGCTGCACACAGAGATGCAGCTGGACCGTGACAGCAAACCACAAGGCTCCCGTGCTGCTGCCAGGGCTTTCCCATCTTCATCTTTTGGTACGAGGAAAACTAATAGACATTAAGATTGATGTTTAATGAACCACAAACTTCTGTACCCTCTGGATTTCACAGCTGAGCTTTGTTGCTCTTGAAAAGGTTGAGACAAATCATGTGGACCGAATTAGTCAGAAGGGACAGATGTGCAGCCACTCAAGCCTGGCTGTGAAGGGTTGTTGTGAGCACTGACTATGCACTGGTGTCTCTCCAGAGGGAGAGACAAGCTTCTGTCTGGCCCTTGAGTCCTCCCTAGAGCTGGGACAACAATTGAGCTTATTACCATCCCCTGGAGCCACCAGCGTGTCCTTAAGAAAGTGGCATGGACCAAGGGCTCAACATTTGCAAGTCTGAATGCAAAAATACATTTTTAAGATTGAAATCATCATGTGATTATCATAGAATCATAAGATGGTTAAAGTTGGAAGGGACCTTAAAGGTCATCAAGTTCCAACCCCCCTGCCCTGGGCAGGGACACCTCCCACCAGACGAGGTTGCTCAAAGCCCCATCCAACCTGGCCTTGAACATCTTCAAGTGTTCTTTACACCCGCATCCACCGCTGGGGCTGAGAGTCTTCCAGTTTGACGTGGACAGCAAGCACAGCCTGAGGTGGATTAGCCTTTACAGGTTTGGATAACACCACCCCAGGCAGTGTCTCAAGAGAAAATACCAACACCTGACAAACGCTATGGAAACCAAGAAGGCAAACATTTAAGCTGCACTAATTGCTCGTGCACCTGCACACTCTCTGTTATGGGAGTGATGCCTCTGCCTTATTTTTTTTCAGGCTGTGCTTCTCTCTTGCTGTGTATTTAGTCCCGTGCCTAGTGCATTGAGGGTTTTCATCATGGCAATAACAGTTGGAAGGACACTCCACCTAATGAAGGGGATTTCTGGCCTCACAGGAGCTGAGCTGCTGCTTTATCTTTTGGAGTGGGTGTAGCTCCTTCCTAGGGTTAAATTCAGCGTGGCTCCCCGTGGACCACAGTGCCCCACAGATCACAGGTTAAGCAGTGCTTCAGGTATCAAATAGAAGTAAAATAGAGAGAGAGAGAAAGCGGGAGAGGAAGAACGTTGTGTCTAGATCTTCAGTTTCTCACCTCCGGTGAGACAGAGAAGTCTTTCCTTCCGTTCATTCTTGCACATCTCAGCAGATGCCTATGAGCTTGTTTCACTTTGCCATTGGCTATGAGCCACCGGGCAGACTCCGGGACCCACCTGGTGGGAGGAGAGAAGACAGTGTTCCTGTTGGCACTCCATGTTTTCCACCCCACATACATAGCCCTAGCCAAAGAGTCTTCTCTATGAGACTTCAACCTCAGCTGAAAATAGCAACTGTGGTGCATGAGAAGGAGAGTAACGGGACAGCCTTGTTACACATACACAGTCTTCTACCCTTAAAGGAGTATGGTCTGCTAGTTGAAGTATGTCTAGCCAAAGTTCTAATCATGTGATCTTTGAGCAAAGCTTGAATTTTCTGAACTGGTTGAAGTTTCAAACTCCTATCAATTAAAATTGGTTCCAGAGTGTTTATATTTAGATTCATGCTTTTGGGACTCTTTAAACTTTGACATCTTGGGATGTAAAAAATTTGCTATGTAGAAGGGATTAGTGGGCTCTATACTTACTTTGTTAATTGCTAAAATTGTTTGGTTTTCACAATAATCAAAGCCTTCTGCACAAGACAAGTTGACTGTGGTCTTCTTGTCGTCTTCTGGTCTTCACAGCCACACTTCACATTGTGGCTGTGAAGTATCAATGCTAGTCCTTGAGTGACAAGGGACGCTGTAATGCTGTAGAGCTGATTAGCAACTCTGAGAGGTCTCCTTAGCAGACCTATGTAGGGTGGGAGTCCTGTGACTCTCATTTTTCTGTCTGTTTCAGCAGAAGATCCTTCTCTCAAAGTAGCACCTGCAACTCCCTCTTCTTGGACTTCTCTCTGGTCTTGCATCCAGTTGCAATTCACAGATACATGGCCCTGTTTGGCCCAGAGCTTCCCAGGCCACAGTGCAGCCCATCTGGCCTGATGTTTGGTTGGGACCGCATGGTGGTCAGGGTCCAGAAGACATTGGAAATACCCCACAGTGGCTACATTCTGCAGGAGCAGCCAACACCTACCTCCCACTACCCAGATCTGTCCCCCAAGAGAAGCAGAAAACAAAATCCGCTGTTCTCATGGAGACTTTCAGCTGAGCATCATGTCCAGTCAGTGGGAATCATAGAGTTGTCTATGTTGGAAGGGACCTTTAAGATCATCTAGTCCAACCATCAACCTAACTCTGATAAAAACCATCACTAAATCATGTCTCTAAGCACTATGTCAACCCGTCTTTTAAATACCTCCAGGGATGGTGCCTCAGCCCATTCCAAGGCGTGAGAACCCTTTCTGTGGAAAAGTTTTTCCTAATATCTAATCTGAACCTCCCATCCATCCAGCCTGTTCAGATCTCTCTGCAAAGCCTCTCTACCCTCCAGCAGGTCGACACTGCCACCCAGCTTGGTGTCGTCTGTGAACTTACTGAGGGTGCACTCGATCCCCTCGTCCAGATCATTGATAAAGATGTTAAAGAGAACCAGCTCCAGTACTGAGCCCTGGGGGACACCACTCATGACCAACTGGATTTAACTCCATTTACCACCACCCTCTGGGCCTGGCCCTCCAGCCAGTTTTTGACCCAGTGGAGAGTATTCCCATCCAGGCCATGGGCAGCCAGTTTCTCCAGGAGGATGCTGTGGGAGACTGTATGAAAAGCCTTACTAAAGTCCAGGTAAACAGTAAGCGGATGTATTTGACCCCTCAGGATGGTTACACAGCTGAGAAAGGCCATGAGGAGTGCAGAGATAACTGCACCTGACCCAGCCTGCAGATGCCACTGGCTCGTATGGAAAAATTGGTACCAGAGGTATCCTCCCCAGCGAGGTGGGGACAGAAGATGGATAAATTATTTATCTTGAGTCTACCTGGGATTAAAGCCAGGGACCTGGCTGGGCCCTGCCTCCCTTTATTGGGTTTTCTTTACTTGCTCTGAGCCACATCTGACAGCACCTGCGGCACCAAATCCTGCTCCTTTGCCCTGCGGTGCCTGTCCTCAGCCCCACTCCTGCCTCTTCCTTGTCCCCAAAGCTGGGGTGCAACCTTGGCTTCCTGGCCTTGTCGGAGGTAAGGAGAGATGAAACCCTGTTTTCAAGAGCTGCCAGGCCTGGGCAATCTGAGTGCAGGACACAGGTGAGTCCTGCTCCTCTTTGGGTTGCCAGAGCCAATCCTAGGATTGGCTCACCACACTCACCACAGGCAGACGATGCTCAGAAGACAAGGTCCTGTTACGGCCACCAGTAGCCAGTGCCATTCCCGCACCAAGTATGCCACCATGGCCAGCAACATGTTCCCGATGCTCCAGAAGATGCTAGTCAGGATCCCGGTTAAGGTGCGGTGCTGTATGTCCACCCACTCCATCCCTGCAAGAGAGAGCCAACGTTCAGCTGGGACACACTGGTCTTCTCCAGGAAGGGGTCTGCGGGGCTTGTTAACAAGGGCAAAGCAAAGTAACATCCCTGGTCTTCTCCTCCAGGAGAATTCCACTGTTTGGCCAAGATCCCGCACATTTAAAATATTCATCCACAATGCTTAACCTCTTGCAAAGCTGTAAGCAACTAAAATAAAGCCTTAAAAGAGGAAATACTGGACATATAGTAAGAAACAGTGCTAAAAACGCTTTAGGTGATACTTTTTTTAAAAATCCCATTACATAGTGTTCAAATGGTCATCTTCATCAAACAGACAATATTTTTTTCCTTAATCAGCTTGGCTGCGCAGTTTCCCGTTTCTCTGCCCACTCATTATTCCAGATGAAAGAAATATATTAAGAGGAATTGTCATTCATGTGGAATCTACCCAAAGATTCCACAAAGCAGATACTAATGCACATGTAAAGTCAGGACAGATGGTGGTCTCCTTGCTTGTGTGTGTGAACTAAAAACCAGTTTTCCTCCCAAAGATCTGCACGTCTTGCTGCAATCTCTAACAGATAGAAACGTCCCTCCCAAGCTCTACTTTGCCTTGCAGGCATCGGGCTTTATAGCAATAAAAAAACCATAGGAAGCCGTGGGATTTGTGTGGTCTTTGTAGACTTTTTCAATACTGAAGCCATTTAACCTTGATTTTGGCTGTCCCTGCAAAAATCCTAGAATTTTTTGCTGCACCTGTAACTTGCTCTTGGGTACAATGAGTCTTGCCTAATACGTCCCAACTGTATCTGCAAAATCATCCAGTGCTCTGTTGGGTACCTTGAAGTCTGGAGCTTGTTTTCATTATACAATTACTTAAATTCTTCAGCTCCAGTTTTGCCTAGCTCGGTATGATTTTTTAATTGCCTTTTTTTTTTTTTTTTTTTTTTTGTGGTTATTTCCCCCCACGCTCTCTAAAAATACAAACTGGGAACTTAAGGAAAACCGTGAGCAAACTTCAAGTCTGGGGAGGTAGAAACACCCTGTGAATGACACACCGTCCTCCTCCTGCTGAGAACACAGCAAAGCTGATGAATTGTCTTAACAGCATGTTTGAAGGGTGAGAACCCAGCCTTCAGAGGAGAGGGGCAGATACTTTGGTCTATGACTGCATTGTGCTGCTGCTGATCCTTAACAGGAATTGGGTAGCATGGATTGGAAGTGTTAATGTTGCAACAGAAGTACCAATAAGTGGTTGTTATGTTTTGATTAAAGTGTTAAAGCACTAATTACAGAATCACAGAATCTTCATGGTTGGAAGGGACCTTTGAGATCATCGAGTCCAACCACAAAAAAAAACACAAACCAAAAAACAAACCAAAACCAAACAAAATCAAAACAAACCCACAAACAGACAAACCAGCAATCTCAGGCACTTGAGTATGCCCTGAAGGCCACGTCTACACGTTTCTCAAATACCTCCAGGGATGGTGACTCCACCACCTCCCTGGGCAGGCTGTTCCAGTGCCTGACCACCCTCTCACTAAAGCCATTCTTCCTAATATCTCATCTAAACCTCCCCTGCCCCAACTTCAGACCATTTCCTCTGCTCCTGTCCTTATTCCCTTGGGAGAAGAGGCCAACCCCCACCTCTCTACACCCTCCTTTCAGGTAGTTGTAGAGGGCAGTGAGGTGTCCCCCCCTCAGCCTCCTCTTCTCCAAACTAAACACGCCCAGTTTAATTAGACTAACAGAAAATCGTAATTCTTGGATCCTCCCAAGTGGGTTGTTCTTTTGAAACTGCACATGTAATGTTCTCCAAACTCCTGTTCCTACCAGCTCTGGTAGACGAGTCCCTACCGACCCACCACCCATTAGAGGTCCCCCTCTACAACCTGGCCAACCCACAAACCCCCACATACGTACCCAAAGGCAACACGATAAGGGAGACGCCGCTCAGGCCCACCCCGGTGAGGGTCCGCGTGATGGCCAGCATGCTGTAGGAGACGGAGGCGGCGCTCAGCATCCCAAAGACAAGGGACCACACAAGGGACAGCAGGAGCATGGCTTTCCGTCCAAACCTGCCAGGAGTACAAAGGCTGGGTTACAGCGGCTGGAGACCCGTCTGGCCCAGGAGTAGGGTTTGAAAGGGGGCAAACTGGAGGCGTGAAGAAGGAGAAGGAAAATGCTGCCCACTCTGCAAAGAGTGCGAGATGCAACACCCCAGGGAGGAGGGAACAGCTCTGGATGAAGCCTCTGCCACAGTGGTGCAACCCCGTTAGTGGGCCAGCCTGCCCCGCAAGCACCAGGCACGAGGCTCTCCGATGGAAAGAGCATCCCCCATCGAAACACTACATCAAGCTCCTCTGTTCAACACCATCATCAAAAGTCAGCTTGAAATCCCCTGCTGCTGGCACACCCTGCTCCCTCCAATGGCTGTCCCCATGCCTGGCTCAGCGTGTTCTCCTCCTGAGGCTCACCCAGGACCAGCCAGTGCCACTGCTCTCAGGGAGCTGCGACACTTTCACCCCGGTCCTTGAAAGGAAAATAAAGATCCCAAATAAAAAGGGAAAATAAAACGAACCCAATCATCAGCCCACATGTGCAAATAGCCCTAATGTCCTAAGGGGTCTCTGAGGAATCTGCTGGGAGGTCATCCCCCAAGAGTTCTGGAAGTTGTAGGACCATCCTACCCCTGGTGCAGAGTGTGGAGAAATACAGAATGTCAAACACACACGCAGAGGGTGAGAAATATGTGTGCATGTATTTCTACACCACCTGTGAAAACCTGAAAATCAAAATGGAGCCCAAGGCATCAGCCTTCTGATGAACATCAGGACTGTGTGTGATGAGGGCTGGAGTAGTTTCTGATGAACATCAGGACTGTGTGTGATGAGGGCTTAGGTACAAACTGGAGTAGTAAAATAATGCTGTCAACAGGCAATGTTCAGTCTAGTCATTCTGGTCTAATTCTGGCATTAGGGCGTTCTCTCTTAGTGGCCGCCCGAGAAGGATGATGGCAAGAATGATTGCTCCAGGGGAGAAAGTGATGTACTGGGACATAATGCCACAATAACGTTCCTAAAAATGACCATAAATTACATCATGTAGCAGCTAGTTAAGGAATCCACTGGAGAAAAAAAAAACAACCCGTGGCTTGGGCTGGGGCAGTGTACTGCATCTGCTGTGGAATTCGGCCATGGCCAGTTTACCAAAGTCATCGTAATGTCCCTGGGTCGGAGCAGCAAACACCCAGAAAAACACCAGAGCTGGATCCAGTTTCCAATAGGCTAATGGCCTGAGAAAGAAGATCCACTTTTTCAAATGATTTTTTTTTTTCTTCAAAATGCAGTAAGAAGGATATAAAGCCGTAAGAGCCCCTGCAGTGCGCAAGGCAGCTATTTATGGACCCATTACTAGATCCTCTCAGCAAACGCGTGCCACCTGCTAGGGAACCCAGAGGCGAGCTGGCAGGATTGAACTGCAGGCTATGGGGAGGCTGCTGGAAATAAGGCTTTCAAAATGGTCTTCAAAGGGAGAGGTAGGAAAGCACAACCTCTGAAGGATTAAAGGTAGGAAATACAAATAAAAGGAGCAAACTGCACAAGCGTAAGAATTAATATAAAAGCTATTTTCATAAATATCCCAGTCTGGAAGTCTGCCAAAACGTCACGCAGCCAATTCAGTACAAAGACAATGTACAAAAGGAGAAACTATATATTTTTTTTTTTTGCAGATATATGTTCACAGTGAAGGATTAAAGGTAGGAAATACAAATAAAAGGAGCAAACTGCACAAGCGTAAGAATTAATATAAAAGCTATTTTCATAAATATCCCAGTCTGGAAGTCTGCCAAAACGTCACGCAGCCAATTCAGTGCAAAGACAACGTACAAAAGGAGAAACTATATATATATATTTTTTTTTTTTGCAGATATATGTTCACAGTGAAGGTTTTTGGAGGGTTTACCAGGGTAAAACTTGTCAGTAGAGATGTTCTTGGTAAGAAGCTTAGAACAAAATGAACCTGGACTGTAGCAAAATGCGAGGACCAGATGGTTTTCAGCCCGGAACACTAGAGATGAAATCTCTGCATTACAGTTAGCAGAAAGAAGTGGGACATCGTCTCCGTTAGAGAAAAGGAAGGCTGCTAATGGGGTTGCTTTTAAGGGCTCTTAGGGGAGAGGGGGGGGCATAATGCCCAAGTTTTAATGAATTTACTGCAGATCTACTGGATGCACTGTCCTCGCTGTGATCACAGGGGCTGCAAACCTCTCCTGATGTGACCTGTGGGCCCCGTGGCCAGGTGGCTCAGGTGGGCAGTGCACAGTCAGCTCTGCTCCTGGCTGCTTACGAGGGCACAGCTTGCTGTCAAACCCTCATTAGCCATCACGTCAGTAGACTGAAGGGTCCTGCTCTGGCTAATTGGAAGCCAAGCCATAACTTGGTCTTTTTTTGTTAGCTGCTCCCAATTTTCTCTGTTGCTTCTGTATCCTTTTAAGATGGGGAAGGAGGGTGAAGGGAAGTCAAAACTGCACTCGATATTCAAGATGTGGGGCCACCATGCATTTACATGTTACTGCATAGTGATGTTCTCTTTAATTTTATATTCCTTTCCTAATGATTCTTAATTTTCCATTTGCTTCCCCAGCCACCACTCATTGCTGAGTGGATGTTTGCCTGCAGCTGTCTATCATAATCCCCAAATCTTGCACTTGAGCAGCTGTGGTCAGCTCAGAGTCTTCAGTTTTAAATGAGAAGTTAGAATTGCTTCTCCCTTTATTTTAGATTAATCTATCTTGATTTTAGATTAATCTATCTGTCTTCTGATGCTCCCATCCAGTCACAGCTTTTTAAGCTCCTTCTGCAGTTCTTCTCACTCAGAACTCATGCTACCAGCCTGGTAGGGTCACTCAGAAACAACTTCCCACTCGCTTCTTTTCCAGATAATTTATAAATGTGCTGAAAAGCACACAGATCCAATCCCAGGTCCCCATAGGTCTCACTCCATCATCAAAAGCAAACGCTTACAACTCCTTCCTGGCTTTTAATCAATTATTTAGTCATGCAGAGACCTTCCTTCTTATCCTAGGGCAGCCCAGTTTCTTCCTTTCTCAGTCTTTTGTAAGGAAACTTCTTGAAATCCATGTAGATGGCATCTCCCCTATTCACACGCCTGTTAGGACATTTCGAGAAACCCAGTATGTTGGTAAGGCATGAATCCTTTGAAAATACCCCACTGATTTTTCACTGGCATCTCATATCTACCCGTGTGGCCACTGACTCAATCTTTCAGAAGAGTTTCTACTAATTTTCCCCCTACAGATAGATGTCTGTCTGCCTGGCACATAGTGCCTGAGATCTTTTTTGGACACCAGTTTAAAAACTGTTTGATAGGTGATACCTTACCAGCTCCCTGCTCTGGAGGTCACACAATGCCAACAGCATTCCAGCTTTTTCATCCCTGTGGGGCTCTAGAATGAGCACTCCCTGCTCCTGGCAGTTTACTGACATTCACCTGGTTAACCAGCTTTCTCCCTTTTTTTTTTTTTAGACAGTTGTCTTTTCCAAAAACAGTGTCACAGACAGGGGATTTTTTTCAGTTTTTACTGTTCCTGCAGCAACTGACTCCTGACCAAGGCTACTGCTCTGGTGGATCCTGGCAGTTTACTGACATTCACCTGGTTAACCAGCTTTCTCCCTTTTTTTTTTTTTTAGACAGTTGTCTTTTCCAAAAACAGTGTCACAGACAGGGGATTTTTTTCAGTTTTTACTGTTCCTGCAGCAACTGACTCCTGACCAAGGCCAGAGCTACTGCTCTGGTGGGCTGCTAACTGGCTGCTCCATTAATTTAGGCAAGGCATCGCTTCCCAGGATGACTTTAATCCAATTATCATGTGAGAGGCTGGATTGTCCCTTTATGATTATGTTTTCTCCTTTCTCTGCCCCTCCAACTGCCCTTCGCAGGTCACAGGTTTGTGAACTTCTCGTTGTGGAATGGGAGAAACAGCCTGAAAGGGGGCAAACCTGTCTGAAAGGTATCCGAAGACCACGGCCCCCATCGTCACGCCAATGAAGAAGAAGGTTGCTGTCGCCTGGTTCAGTCCACGCTGCTCGCACACGAGGTCCCACTGAAACACAAAGCCACACAAAATGACACTTAGTGCCCAGTTCAGTCTCTGCTGCCCTTTCATGCCCCTTTCCTCTGGTGGTTGGCCTTGGCGTCTTGCAATTTATATCGGCCAAAGCTGATGGAGGGGTAGAATCCTGCACTAAACTGCAGTGCTGGAGTCCTGAGAAATGTAAAGTTGCATCTTACAAAGCTCCCTGTTATCTGTCCCCACTGTGACAGCCTCTCTGTGATCACTTGTTGGACATCAGAAAGGACTGAGGAGGAGGACTTGGGGGTGCTCATGGATGAGAAGCTCACCATGAGCCGGCAGTGCGTGCTGGCAGCCCAGAAAGACCACCACATCCTGGGCTGAATGAAGAGAAGTGCAGCCAGCAGGTCAAAGGAGGTGATTCTGCCCCTCTGCTCTGCTCTGGTGAGACCCCACCTGGAGCTCTGTGTCCTCAGCACAGGAAGGACATGGACCTGTTGGAACAGGTCCAGCAGAGGGCCACGAAGATGATCAGAGGGATGGAGCCCCTCTGTTGTGAAGACAGGCTGAGAGAGCTGGGGTTGTTCAGCCTGGAGAAGAGAAGGCTACGGGGAGACCTTCAAGCAGCCTGCAAAGATCTGAAAGTAGCTCCAGGAGAGCTGGGGAGGGACTCTTTGTCAGGGAGTGCAGTGACAGGACAAGGGGGAATGGTTTTAAATTGGAAGAGGGGAGATTTAGATTGGATACCAGAAAGAAATTCTTTGCTGTGAGGGTGGTGAGGCACTGGAAGAGGTTGCCCAGAGAAGCTGTGGCTGCCCCATCCCTGGAGGGGTTCAAGGCCAGGCTGGATGGGGCTTTGAGCAACCTGGTCTGGTGGGAGGTGTCCTTGCCCATGGCAGGGGTTGGAACTAGATGATCTTCAAGGTCCTTTCCAACCCAAACTACTCTATGATTCTGTGATCAGAAAGCTTTCCTGGGTAAAACTAATCATGGAGACATCCCCTTTTCCCTCTCCTGTGAAAGCTGCTCTCAACCTGCCCGGGTATGTGTCTCCCCAGCTCCCTCTGTCATGCCCTGGGACTGTCCAGGTTAAAGTGGGCATTTGCAGGGTGCTGGCACTGCTGTGGGCTGTAAGACGTGCCCCAGCCTTCCTTAGGGAACGTGGTGTTGATATCCCGTTCCTGCTACCCTGACCAGTTTCCTTTGAAGTAGTCCCTGCAGGGAGGAAGGAGGGCAGAGGGGGAGTCAGACCAAATGCTTGCTCCTGATGGTAACTTACTGGTTTCTTACTGGGAAGTTGGTCTAGACAGTCTTCCTAATCGAGTTAATGAGCATCATTTTACTTTCTTGGAGGTGCAAATGTCGCTAATCATTACAGAATGCTGTGGCTGAGCTGCGGAGTTAATTTTCTGTATGTGCAGACTTGGCAAAACTTAGTTTAATCATCAACCCAGCCTCTCTGGAGAGGCCAGCCAGACCTTGAGCAACCTTTCCTGCTGGAAGAGCAAAAGACTCCAGAGAAAGCCCTGCCTTCAACATGTCCCGAGGCCACCGCACCATGGGTGCAGCACCATGAGGCTCCGTGATCAGCATCCTGGCTGCAGGAGCACCCCCCTGGCCTCTTCCCCTGGGGGTCCTTCACACCCTTCTCCCTGAAACAGTGCCAGGTACAGACCTGGTACACACCGGGACCCTCACCTCCACGTCTGATGAAAGCAGGGTGGTTGGGGGGAAGCATCAGCTCCGGGTTAAGACTTGGCCCTGCTCTCGCTGAGACAGTCAGCTGCAACCATTTCCAAGCCAAACGTGCCCTTTTTGTCTGACCAAATTGTCCCCTTCTCCGAGACCTCCTGTGATTTGGGCTGCTTTTCAAGGAAGGTAAAGCATTAACACCCAGAGGTATCACTGTCAGCCCTAGCAAAGTGTTTCAGAAGGCAGGTGGTTAATGTTTGATGGGCAGGGACCTTGGGCAGGCTCAAGGTTAGGGCTGGCCAGCATGCTGCAACTCAGCAGGAGGCCCTTGGAGAGCAAGAGAACACCTTGACAGCAAGAGACACCGGTGGGAAGAGAGGCAGCAGGATCCTGGGGAGAAGAGGGGGAAGATGGAGATCACTGAGGAGGGGGCGGCCAAGGGTGTAGAGGTTACAAAGTGTTTGGAAAAACAAGAAAGCAAGTCATGGGCTCATATACCACATCCTGCAGAAGTGCCGTGTGGCCCAAGCAGAGAAAATCTGCAGGTCAGACTAGATGACCTTTGGACGTCCCTTCCATCCTGGACAATTCTATGATTCTATGAAAAAACTGTATGTGTGTCTTCACCCCACCCCCCCAATCTCTCAATCACCTGGAGAAACTAAAATGCTTATAACAAGAAATGTTGGTTTCTAAGGATCAATATAAGCAAGAGTAATAGTAACAATAACAATATAATAATAATAATAATAACAATAATAAAAATAAATGTTAGCTTCTTACTCTGAGCTTCAGAGATCTTTCCTGTTTCAGGAAATCTTCTCGAACAAGTCGTTCCCACTAGTTAAAACACTAAGATTCGCCCCTGATTCTGTGCACCCAGTGAATACCTCTCCATCTGCTCCTCAAAACACATTTCCAGCTAGATCACAGGCCAAGTGTTACCTGGGTGGAGATGGTGGAGGCGAACTGCGAGTGGTCATAGACCCATCCGTGCTGGCAGGGCTGAATGATGGAGTCGTTTTCTGGTTGCAGAGAGGAATTGAGCAGCAGGTGAAACTGAGGCTGCGAGAACATCTCACAGGACCTGAAAGTGCCATCAGGCTCCTGGGGGATGCTGATGAGCAGAACTTCCTCCACGGTGAGGTTCACAAATGCCTCTTGGTGTGGAACCGCACAGTGATGAGAGGGAGTAGCAGCAAGAAAATTGTGCAGCAGAAAATGCATGGGAAGGTTGATTCTTGGGAGGCAGAGGATAAACAAAATCAAAATCTGGAATCTGCCGAAGCTGCCAATTTCCAGCAAGAGATCCTCAAATTTCATCTTTTCTGTGCAATTTGTTCACTCAGAGCAGCTACGTACCAAGGCGCAGCCACATGAGCTTGGAAAGTGGTCTCTATCCTTGGAGCTCAACTTCCCATGGCTTTTCATCCAGCCACTTCGCTGGACTTTGAGACCTGGCTGAAAGGCTGTCAAAAGTCACAGCGAAACTCTCCGTTTGGGGTAGAGCCAAAGAAATTATCCTCTGTGCACGCAGCACATCCATCTCAAGCGGACCCAGCACAAGGCGCCTCTCCTCCTGTTGGAGGAAAGGACAAGGGTCCTTCCCTCCTGTTGTAGTTTTTGAGAGGGAGATCCACATTAGGCAAGCAGGCCGTGGGAAATGGGCCATGAAAACAGTGTTGTTTTCTGGTGTGGGGGGTACCATGCAGCATCTCAGGTGCTGCAACAAACTCCATCTGGTGTGAGCTGATCACCAGCCAGCCCAGCTGGACCATAAAACAGGCACCCAACAGGAGAAGGAGGGTGACCCACTGTGTAGGGATGCCCAGGGGCACCAAAGCCTGGCTGCTGTGCATCAGCGAAGTGTTTTTTTAGGATGATTTGTGTCAAGTGATGACCTAGGAGCAGGGAGTATGGAAAGAGTAAGAAAGTGCCCAGAAGAGGAGACGAGTCTCTGCATGGATGCAAACAGGGAGATAAGCGCTTTGGGGAGAAAGGGTGGGCTGTGGGTGAGGGCCACCTGCTCACCACCGTCCTCCAAAGGCTGGAAAAAGTGAAAATTCTTTCCTACAAAGTCCCTTTCTCCACCTGGGAGAGTGCTTTCCCAGAAGACGTGCACGGAAGCGACGGGAGCTGCAGTGCTGGCACACAGAGAGGCTGTCCCTGCCGTGAGAAGGACCATAATGTACTCCTGCAAGGTCACAGCCTTGTGCTGGTGTGCTCTGGGGACTGATGTGACAGCCAAAGGAGTGAGTGTCCAGCCCCTGACAGGGCAACTGCTGCCACCACTGCATGGGTCTTGCACCATGGTTCCTCCATTGCTTGCTTCAGGTAATGGTTTCCTGGAAGAGGTGTGTCTTTCATGTGAATTTCCACTCCTCTTACTCTCTTAACCGAGGAAATGAGCTCTTTATTCAGCTGGAGCTACTGCAGAAGAACAATAACAGATGGAACACCTGAGAGGCTGAAGGTGGCTAGTCATCAAAGGTGTATAACACAAAGTATTATATCACACAGCTTCTGGGCAAATGCTTTGACCCCAGGGTGGCAGGGAGCAGAAAAATTGCTGAATTTTTGGAAAAGCTATAGAAACAATACCTGGAAAATCCAGGAACTAGGAGGAGGTGGCGTCAGAGCTGGCACGGTTTGGTTCACGCAACCAACACAGTTAGAAGAAAAGTCCCTAGTCCTTGAGCCAGGAACAAAAACATCCAGCAGAAGTAGCAGCTCCAGGTACTCCAGGCATGCCAACATTGCTAGGAGGTGTACAACCTCTTCCATGGCTGGCAGAGACCTGGCTGGAGGATGACTGGCACTTCAAGACAAGACAGCCACAACTCCCTGCCCCACGGCTGAGCAAGCTTAGGAAAAGGGATGAGATTTGGGCGGTTAAACTGGGAACAGTGGGAAGAAGGGGGCACTACCCAGACTCTGGAGAGCCCAAGGACCCTTTCCTGCAAGTCCCTTTACACCCTGGCCAAGTCTGGGTACAAGAATGGGTACAAGCACTCCCTTGCAGGGGGTGCTCTGGACAGGGTCATCCCGGGATGAACATGAAGAAAGCACAGAGGAGTGAAGTGGGGACATCTGACAGTTTTGTGCCTCCAGGGTTACAGTTTAAGCTGAAGTTGAACTACAGGACAACTCGTTTCCTTCACCGCTGGTCTTCTGAGAGCAAGGAAGAGAAACTCTTGTTGATATGCTGTTGCATATTTAAAGTGTGAAGCAGCTCCAGCCTCCCCGCCAGAAGCGAGGTTTCGGGTCGTTGCTCTGCCACTCCTGGGGCTCTGCCTTTTGTCTGTGATTGCTTAAAATCTACATCAGTCCGTCACTGTATTTCCCTGACCCAAGTGTGTTCATTTAACCAGTTACCAGATTTAGTTAATGACCACCACGTGTGCAAACTCTGTGACTGACTATACCCTACCACTTGATTAATTAGACCCAGGACCTGACTCAAAGAGCCCAGCAGTGGTGAGAGGGGGCTCTCTGCTGCTGCTTTCACCTATAAAGCTGTTAAAAAAAAAAAAAAAAAAAAAGGTTTAACTTTTA